TTTATTTTTTGACTGGGGTCAGGTTTGAACCCACCACCTCTGGTATATGGGGCCAACACCCTACTCCTTTGAGCCACAGGTGCCTTCCTTTGAGCAGGAACTATTTAGAAAGATTTAGGTTAATTTAGGAAGATACTACCTCAAAAGGTGCATTATTTCTGTTTAATGTTTATTTAGTATTTGCTATATATAGACTGCCATGTTTTTTATTCCTTGGGTAATCCATACATTATTGATTTTCTTATAGGGGTTTTATATTTTGATGCAAAACTATCAACCAAAGAAATGAGAAACAGCTGGGAAAAACAAATTGCAACTATTATTTTACCTGAACTGGAGGTGAGTGCTAAGTGGTGCCAGCCCCAGAGCTGTTCTGTCTGGGAAAGGGAGGGGATCCCAGGCATCTGGTGCAGACTTCGAAGGCGCCAACCTAGAATCACCGTGCTCCCACTGTCCCCAGGGGCCCTTCCTCCTGTGCTGTCTACAGTTCACAAAGGGCAGGCAGTAGCTTTGTCCCGCTGCTTTTTTACAGCAGAATGTAGAACAAGAGGTGGAGAGATAGCCTATCCTGCAGATGCCACTAAAGATGGACTGATGGTCATAGGTAGAGATGCTCTGGTAGATAAGAATATTGGTGAGAGTAGTTAAGCCCATCAGGAATTAAGTCAGCAAATAAAAGAATTGGAATAAAAGACACATCACTGAGTCTCATTCTGTTTGGGGAAGATATAAATCTACAAACAAGGAGCACTTCAACAATAAACAATAAAAGCAAGCGTCTGATTACATGCTCAGATGAGGAGGGCAGACTCTGAGATGCACAAGCCCCCTGGTGAGGTCACTGGGTGTCCTAACCTGGAGTGATCACCTTACTTCCAGAACTCTGTATCATTTTCTTCATCTAGCGTCTGGATAAAACCCTTCTGACTGTGAACACTCTAATCAGCCAAGATGAGCGCATCAGCTCTGACCCTGTGGCCAGGATCATATATGGTGACCCAGCGACCTTCCTGCCCCAGCTGCCCCGGACACATGAAGTCCATTGCTCTAAGATTTGGAACTACAGAAAAAGGATCACAGTTGAGTACCTCCAGCACGTTGTGGAACAGAAAAATGGCAAAGAAACAGTGCCTGTCCTCTGGCAGTTCCTACAGAAGGTACGTCCGACTCTCTGTGAAGGCCCCAGACTATTTAGTATGATCATTCCTAAAAATAGAACATCTTAACAGACTACTTCAGTGCTTTGTTTTCGAATAGAATGTCTGTGGCAGAAGACTGGAGAATAGAGATCTTTATACACATTAAATTGTAATAGCTGAAGCATAAAGTCATAGATGTAATGTACATACAAGCTGGGATTAGTACTGATCTGGAGGGCCTCTGTGATCATTCAGCAAGAAAGAATATAAATCCTTCCTAGCGTGTCTGTTCATCTTTGTTCTCCAGTACAAACAGAGTAGTTGATCATCAAGGAGTGTATGTTTTTTTTTTTTTGAGACAGAGTCTCTCTTTGTCACCTGGGGTAGAGTGCTTTGGCATCATCATAGCTCACGGCAACCTTAAACTCCTGGGCTCAAGTGATCCACTTGCTTCAGCCTCCCAAGTACCCGCGACTACAGATGTCTGCCACAACATCTGGCTAGTTTTTCTATTTTTAGTAGAAATGGGGTTTTTCTCCTACTCAGGCTGATCTCCAATTCCTGAGCTCAAGCAATCCACTGACTGGGCTTCCCAGGGAAATGTATGTTGAATTCTGTCAAGAATACGTAGCCAGGCTCGGCGCCTGTGGCTCAAGTGGCTAAGGTGCCAGCTACATACACCTAAGGTGGTGGGTTCGAATCTAGCCAAGGCCCACCAAACAACAATGGCGGCTGCAAAAAATAGCCGGGTGTTGCGGTGGGCGCCTGTGGTTCCAGCTACTTGGGAGGCTGAGGCAGGAGACTCATTTGAGCCCAGGAGTTGGAGGTTGCTGTAAGCTGTGATGCCACGGCACTCTACCCAGGGGGACAGTTTGAGGCTCTGTCTCAAAAAAAAAAAAAAAGAATACATCGCCCAAATCAGGCTGAGTACAGTGGCTCACGCCTGTAATCCTAGTGCTTTGGGAGTCATAGGACCAAGATGCAGATCCCCTTTATTCACTCTGACACACTGAGTCATGTGCAGCTCTGTAAGTGGGGGCTCTGTCTCCATCCTCCATTGCTGACGCTGCACCATCTGTAGGTTCTTGCTGAAAGAATGGCCCTTTCCCTGTATTCACGCTCCATGGCGTATCCTATAAAATGGCAGGCTCACAGATTAAACTACAAGTCCTCCAGCCAGCCTACCCCAATGTCTGTGTCCTCAGTCACTCCCTTTTCTAGGTAAATAAAAAGGTGTTATGAGGGGTCTTCCTTCTACAGGAAGCAGAACTGAGACTGGTGAAGTTCTTGCCTGAGATTTTGGCCTTGCAAAGGGATCTAGTGAAACAGTTCCAGAACGTCTCCCAAGTGGAGTACAGCTCCATCAGAAGCTTTATCAGCAGGCACAACTCAGGTACGACTTGCTCCAGTAAGATCAGGACTGTCCTGTTCAAAAGGATCACCCCAGTGGGGGCACGGGGTGGGCTGCAGGGGCATTCAGGTTAATGGGTGCTTTGTATCCTGAGCCTTTAGCATGAAGTGAATGTGAACTCCCAAAACAGGCTTCTGTTGCAGCTGAAAAGCATCTCCTCAATCTAACTCCTCAAACTCAGCGTGGCTCTTGCCACAGCATTTTAGGTGTGCTAGGGACATGCTGTGGCCCTGCCCAGAGCATGTGACTGTGCTCTGACCTCGCAGGGTGCTTGCTGGGGTTCTTACAAAGTGCTTTGTTCACCAGATGGGTTGAAACAGTTATTTCGAAACAGAATCACTATCTTTCTGTCCACCTGGAACAAGCTGAGACGATCGCTAGAGACCAAAGGTGAGTGTCCTCATCCCTGCAGCGTGGTGGAGGAGGCCTGTTCTGAGAGCTCTTCTGGCACCACATTAATGCTAAATCTATGAGTCTTTTGACGGTGGTGCCCGGGATGAGAGAAATAGCTTATCAGGAAAAATAAACCCTCAGTCCTTTGAATCCGTAAGTTGGAGTCATAAAGGAGTTGAGAGCACTTGAAACTGTTCAGCATCTAGAGAGCCAAAGGTGGAACTCAGACCTGGCTCCTAGCTGTGTGCAGCTGAGCTGACCCCACCTTCCTCCTCCCCACACCGTGATGCTGTGGGAAGCATATGGAGCCAAAAACCTCTCCGCCTAAGAAAATTCCTCTCGTTAACAGGTGAAATCAAGCTACCTAAAGACTACTGCAGTACTGACTTGGATCTGGACACTGATTTCGAGGTTGTCCTGCCACGGCGCCGGGGCCTGGGCCTCTGCTCTACTGCCTTAGTGAGCTACTTGATTAATCTACACAATGAAATCGTCTACACGGTCGAAAAGTTCTCCCAGGAAAGCAGCAGGTGTGTGCACGAGCCAACGGGAATTGGTGCCCGCTCAGCCCAGAGCCCAAAGCCCACGGAGGCAGAAGTGAGCCCAGCTTCCACTCCTTCCCTGACAGACACTCCCACAGGTGTCCCAGACTTGTATATGGTTTACAAGGTCAGACAATTAAGTTTAGGGTGAGTGCTGCGTGCGTCCCTGCTGAGTACCGCTAAGGTTACCAGTGGCTGAGGAGAGTCTTCCGGAGTGATGCTCAGCACTGAGGTGCAGCATCTTTTCTAGGAAGGGTTCTCAAACCTGACTGTCTGACCTCATGTGTGCTCAGAGTGTGGGAGTATCACACAGGAACGGGGGCCCTGCACCCTAGAGTCCTGTCCCCACACACTTGGCCTGGACACTGATTGTGATCTTGGGGTCCCTCAGCTATTCCGTGGATGCCTCTGAGGTCACTGACCTGCACGTCATCAGTTACAATGTGGAGCGGGACCTGATCCCGCTGATTCTGTCCAACTGCCAGTATCAGGTGGAGCAAGGTGGAACAACTGTGCAGGAAGTCGACCTGCAGAAGATCCAGCGGCAGGTCACCAGCCGCTTCCTCCAGGGCAAGCCCAGGCTCACCCTCAAGGTAAGGCTGCCACCTGCTGCCATCACCTGGTGGTATCTGCTGTGGCAGGCAGCCCTGAGCATTTCAGGAGAGACCAGAGTGTGTCAACAGCAGTCTGCTCTGTGACCGCCCCTGCATCTCTGGCTGGGTGGCTCTCCTAAGCTCTCCTCTGCTATAGTATCTGTGCCTCAGTCCTCCAGGGAAGGCTCTGTTCAAGTCCCAGTG